CTACAGACTTCCAGTGTTATAATCACTATATAGAGCTTATTTTATCAATATTACATATACTATATTATAATACATTTATCAAATTAACTTAGCCTGCTTCAGCTGTGAATTAAAATACCTTTCCTAACAAGACATCTTGTTTTTCTAATTTCTATGCAATATAATTGGTAAATTAATATTATTACAAGCTTAAGACATACTGTGTATGTTCAAAATGAAACTGACCTTGTCTGAAATAATTTTTAAAATGTATCACTAAAACCTGAATAATAACTTTATTATTTTGATTTTCCTCCAACATGTCTAGGACACAGGTGCATGATTATGCTGATACAGAGCGGGAGTAAGACATCAGTGTTAGATGCCAGCGATTACACCACTGTTCTTAGCACTGCCAACAGTTACACAATATTTTACACATATCAGCGGGTTGTTCTGCCAACTCCTCTATCCTTTTTTGCCCAAAAACATATTCACTGATCCCTATCCCACCTCCCATATCTCCATCCAGCACCTTGAGTTTCACAAATCAACAACAACAATAACTTTCTTTTCTCAGCTTCACCTTTCTGCTGGGTTTTGTACGCTGGCCTTCCACTGACCTCCCCCTGTCTCCCTGTTTCTCCTCACTTCCTGACATTTTCTTGGTAATGAACACAGTCATGTGCAGCACTGTGGACACAGAGAGATGTCCTGTACATCTGAAAACCACACTGGCCATTTTAAAGAAACAGAGTGTGGATTCACACAGCTATGTATGTACACTACCATCCCTAAATAAACAGGCTTCTGCTCCTCAGGGGAGCTGGTGGACGCAGCCCTCGGACCAGCTCCCCTCACAGGGCAGTGCTGTGTGCGGCCTAAGCCTGGCCTTCCTGTCTAGACTAGTGGAGATGGGGTTAATGAAATGCTCACTGCTGTCTGATAGCTGTCTGAACATTCACTGCGGCATCCATCTTCAACTCGTTCCCGCCGACGCAGACCATCACACCTCAGTATACACCTTAGTTTCTTACCGCCCCCCATTCCCTTTCCCCTCCATTGCCTGGCTTCCTTTTCCTCCGCCCTCCACCCTCGACCACTAACTTACACTCACTGTCACTGTGGAATTCTTCCACCCCCCCCCCACCAACATCTCTTTTCCCCTCACGCATGCGCTCTGTCTTTGCATGGAGAAGAACCGTTTATGAGACAGTCCCAGAATAAATGGTGGTCAGCAGTTCAGCATGTTGGCTCGTCCAGCTCTGTGGATGACTGAACCCAGCCTTAGGGAAAATGTGTGAGTGTCTAAAATAGCGGCTGGACGGCTCCGCCAACAAGAGCACCTGGATGGTGTTAATCACAGCTTAACATAAACACTGCTTCAAAACGGCTGCACTCATACGACCAAGTGCATGTGCACACAAACTGTCTCATTTCTGTGTGGGGACACGTAATGATAGCAGTGTGCTACACTGACACTTGCTGATCTTATATACATTTCACAAATGCAAGACATTTCATTATTGCATTTGCTTCCTTAATAGAGCCAAAAAAGGCATGCAGGACAGTACATCCTACTAGCCAGCCATTTTCAATATACAGGCCATTTCTGTATCACTTTCTGTATCACTGCAATATTCAGTCTGATTTTGTTTTTTGTTAGCCATTTCCCACTAGGGTTGCAGCGCGGCTGCCTTAGCCCAGCCCAATTTTCGTAAGTTAAGAAAGTTCAATATATATGGTCAATATATGTGGTCAGTAGTTATCTCACTACAGATTGTAGTTTGACACATTTTATAATTTGAAAGCAGATTATTGTTTAAAACTCTATGGTAAACACAGATACACACACAATTGGATACATTTCATTTCATTATGCCCGCTCCACTACAAGCTGAATGTGCACCAAAGCATTTTAAATCGGTCTCATGGAACTTGGCCATCTTAGTATTTATCCCTCTGGGACCTGGACTCAGCCATAATGGACCTTCATCACTGTCACATAAGATACAGTCAGCTCTATAATAAGTAAACACATGCTGTCACACATCAGCACATCGGCCAAAGATCTCCGGGCTCTCCAGCGGAGGGGGCCCTCGGTCCAGCATCTCTACCCAGCCTGTGTCTGGGTTTGTTGGGCAAATAGGGTTGCACGGCTGGCCTGGGCGCTGAAAACGGCAATGCTTTATTGCCCATAGTCTGGGCTGAAATAAACACAGTTAACATGCTACAAGATGCTGTGTGTGTGTGTGTGTGTGTGTGTGTGTGTGTGTTTGTCTGTGTGTGTGTGTGCTCATCAGTCAAAAGAGAAGACATATTATCTGTTTAAACTCGCTCAGTGCAGCCAGGCCACACAGCAGGCCTGCTGCCTTTTTAATTTACACGATGGGATTGCTCTCATATCTATATTACTTAACATTTTTTAAAGACCTCAACTTTAGAGTTCCATTAATATGTAAGTCTCCAAACTGTGGTACTATATGAGTGTGACTGGTGTGTGGGCAATTACAATTTACAAAGTTTACAGTTTCCAAAAGGATGAAATAATAAAAGTTTTCTAGAGTTGGTCTGCTTTATTTTGACTGATATTGGTGCGTGAAGTAATACCCATTTTGAAGATGTGCATTACCTGCAGTGGTGGAAGAGGATTCAGAAGATATACTTTGTAGCCACAACACAATGTTAAAATATTAATATAAGTAGGAGTCCTGCATTCAAAGTTAATAAAATACTTTTGCAGAATTGCCCCTTTCAGAACATCATAACAAAGTTCACACCAGTGCTTTATTCATAATAATGCATGTGAGCAGCATTTTATGTGTTGCAGCACATTCAAATTAAGTTATTCTATAGTGTAATGTTGGATTGTTTAATCCAAAACAATATACGCCATATTATGCTTTTGTATATGTTGACCATAAATGTTTTATCTAAAATATTAAACTTTAAAGTAACTACTACATATAGCTAAGTGTACAGTAACACTTAAGTGAAGTTAAAGTTTTGTTTTTCTTACATTGCAAGGACTTAGTTTGACACTCGTTTACAGAATAACTCGAACTGAACCTATGACCTTTACTTTATACGAGGCACTGTAGTGGTCTTACTTCTCCAGTGGATCCAGCTGGAGTATCTTCACGGCCAGCCCATTAGCACTCTGTACATCCAGCTGTGTCTCTGTCAGACAACAGGCCTGATCTCCAACACATTACCAGCTCCTCCTGCTCTGCTTCTCCCATGAAGATCACCCACACAGGAAGAGAGGTAGTCAACTAGGATCAACAAGGTAGTTTCAGTATGTTCCCTTTTTACCCTAGAAAACACACACACCCACACACACGCACATGCACTGCACACTTGTACATTTGGTGACCTGAGTGGTTGTGAGGCCCAGTACTGCCTCGGTGTCTACTCACACATTGATTAACCCTGAGAGTGTTTGGCCATTAGAGCCTGATCTGCAGAAATCAAACCAATATGTGAACTCTGTGATTAGTGTCAAAAGTGTTACAACGCCTTTCACTCAGAAACCAGAACTCGGTGCATTCCAGTCCTGCTCCCCATATCTCTGGTATGAAATACAAATACTCTACGATGAGGGAGAGAAGCACAGGAGAACAGGGTGGGGGTTATCGAGCAGTTACATTTTTTCCATGTCAAATCGGAGAATATGTCACCCTGGTGCTCCATCTCTCCCACTTTCTCCTTTTCTCTCAGATACACACACGCACACACGTACACGCACACACGCACACACACACACACACACACACACGCGCACACACACACACACACACACACACACACACACACACAGAAACACACACACACACACAAGTGAATAACAAACTGACACNATATGTCACCCTGGTGCTCCATCTCTCCCACTTTCTCCTTTTCTCTCAGATACACACACGCACACACGTACACGCACACACGCGCACACACACACACACACACACACACACGCGCGCACACGCGCGCGCGCACACACACACACACACACACACACACACACACACACACACACACACACACACAATCAGTTATACAAATATTTCTCTAACGTCAAATGTCCTGGGGCTACTGAGGCAACACAATTCTCCCCGGTGGGAGGCAGATCAGAGGAGTCTGCACTCTACCTGCTTTACTGACAGACCTCCCTGAAATCCAGTGACTGCCTTTCACCTGTAACGGCAGCCTTTCTTTTAGTGCAGACAAAGCCCCCAACTCTGAATATCGGCCAAAGATATAAATGCCTCCCATATAGTTAACGCCATCCAAATAACCCACAAGCCAAGGACAGGAAATAAGGAGAGACAGTAGGGTTACAGTACAATGGCAGGGGTGATGGAAGGATGGGGAGGTAACAGGAGGGACTTTACTAAACTGCGTGGGTGATGAGGACTATGGACAATGGTGTAGTGGGGATGTGCATTTGCACTATGGGTGATTCTTTTCCCCATCCCCACCTCTGACTCAAAGGGAATGAGCTGACTGGAAACTGCAAGAAAGTCACTTTACAGTCTTTCTCTTTGAACCGTCACACTTTCATTTAGACGATTTGCTGACCTCGAGTTGAATATTTTACATAGAGCCGCTCTCTGGAGACAGAATTTTCTGGTGTAGCAAAATAATCTAAATTGCAGTCATAATTGAGATAAGATATCATGTACGTCTCTTAGGGCTGGCTGGCATGAAGGCAGAGGCCGAGCAGGAAGTTGGTGATAGGAACAAATTGTTAAGAGGAAGGAAATGTTTAAGTCAAGATGGATGAAGGCTGCTGATTCTGCCGTAACACACCTCTTATGACAGCTTAGGATACTATCGAAACAAATTGTGCTACTGCTCCAAATTCCTTTATTTTCATGGGAGGAAAATAACTGACTACTCCATTACACTTCAGCTTTGCTAGCTCTCATGTTTTTACCAATAGGTATTTATTAATCACAGGTCCAAATGCAATAATATTCTTATCAGAGTAAATTAATACCAGAGAGTGGGGACCAAGCAAACACACCAAACTGCATCAAAATCCATTGGTTTATCAATAGAAATGTGTAGCAACATTTCATAGAAGTCATGTAATGATTCATTACGTTTTTATAGTTAACTCGGCCAACACATTTTATTAAATGTAGGATTTATCAAACGCTAAACGGAGTGCCATCCAGCGGTGAGGTAACGTTCATCTGGCTCTCCGGATGATACTGTCCCATACGGGGCTAGAGTTAGCTGAAGCTTGTATTGGATACATTAACAATTAGAGTCAAACACTCAACTTTGTCATATGTGGTCTATTCATGATAAAGCCATCTTAGCAACGTTAAGGAAACTTAAGGTAACGTTAATGGGACAGAAAAGAACGGACCGTGCTTTAGGAGCTTTTACCAACGTAAGCTAACGTCAACGTTACATCGGCAGATGATTCGAAATATGTTTATCCACGTTTATTGCTGTTAAAATACATGTATGTAAACTGTTATTATGGAGTATCTTACTCTACTTTAACGAGTTGACGCCTATTTGCTTTGAGCTAACGTTTAATGTCACATGATACTTAAGTAACTAAAAAAGGCAACGTTAACGTACGCCTATCTCCAGTAAATAAGCAAACTAACTTAAAACCTAGCGTTATATTTATTTTGACAGTTAAAACAGAATAATGTCAATAGTAGTTTCACTTTGTATTTCTTACCTTGTTAGCTACATACGCTAGCTGTGGGCTGTGGTTTGCTGTTGGCAGAAATGACAGGAGGAATGGGAGCTGGCTGTGGTGGGCGGGGGCCAGTGCGCTCGTTTCCAGTTAGAGGGACACCCGTCCCTCACCCATTGACTAGCCACTAGCCACATTCATACCTGATATCATTACACAGGACAAATAACACATACCTCTTTCATTGTGTCTTAGGGCTTCTTGTGAATATATAATCTTGTATTGGATTTTTTTTCAGTCAAAAAGTCTGATTGATTCATTTATTTATTTTTTCATTAAAATCTCTTCAAAGGTTTTCAATAGCTTGCATATCATGACACCAAATGACTCCAGGGTCATTGGGGAATTGTATACATACACTGGAAAAGTATAAGCATGTTTTCCCCAATGTTTCCAACAACTTTCTCAAGAAATCTGTCATTTTAATCTGGTTTTATGTGGTTGCCTTTAATTGAGACGTATCCCCTTTGGACATGTGTCAGTGGTGTGGTTGTCTACCATAAGCTGTAATAAACGTATGTATTATCTCATTTGTAGCCACATATTTCCATTACAAGTGACATGTTTGAGGTAATTTTGAATACGTTGGTCAATTCTTTCAACCATGTTCACTTCTTGGCATTTATTTGCAACAATCCATAAAGGAATCCAAGAAAGAGGCTGCAGGACATACAGATGAGTAGTACATAGGATTTATTTGGGTTACTTTAACAAACCTTTCTAAGACGGCTCAGAAACACTGGATACATAAGGGGGTTTCAACTTGAATAAATTGAAGAAAGAGGACACTTGATCAGGCAGCTCAGCCAGGACACTCAGAGCAAGAGCCGCGCTGTTTTCCTGCAATGGCAATGTTAGAAAAATAAAAGAGAGTCTTAGCCAGGTTTGGGAGAAACTAGTTGACATTGAAGTGGGCATGTGTCTGTGATAGTCCTTTCATTAAGTCATGCTGCTTACTTGGAAATCTCTGAAGGGCACAAACTGCACAATGTCCCTTGTGGCGACAAGACCTCTGGGTGAACACAGCAATACATCATCACTGTCCAGGAACTCCATTTCGCCAAAGTCTGCCCCCCCCACGCCCACGATGATGATGGACATGGGGAGACGAGAAGCATTGACAATAGCCGTGCATGTCTGGTCCATGTCTGTGATCACTCCATCTGTGATAATGAGCAGCACGAAGTACTGCTGCAGATGGGGCGAGAAAAGATTTCAAACAATGTCAGATATTAAGAATACACAGACCGTATAATTTCTTGTTGGGATATAATCTCAAAATTATCTTATGCCTAGTTTGTTTGAGAAACGTATAACTTACTGAGGCAACATTCTGCTGTAGAGCTTGTCTGGCGAAGCAGGCCGCATGGTTGATAATCGGAGCGAAGTTTGTGGGGCCCGAGAGCTTCAGCTGGGGTAGACACTGCCGGTAAGCCTGCACCACACCCTCTATTCCTGTAGCGCACACACACACACACACACACACACACACACACACACACACACACACACACACACACACACACACACACACACACACACACACACACACACACACACACACACACACACACACACACACACACACACACACACACATTACTGAACAACTTTAAACAACCGAAAACGATCTTGTGACCAAGTTCAACTTACCCACACAGAATGGATTTGATGGATTGAAATTGATAGGAAATTCATGGGAAACCTGTAAACATAATAGATGGATTGAATTTTTTTTGTTTTTGACAATTAAAAGATGCCAGTTAGGAAAACACTGTCACATTATTGTCCTTTTATCAATGATTTCATGTAGATTTATAGTGTACAATAATGTAATGGGTAACACAACTTGAATCCCAAAGAGAACAATAATGTTAACCTGCCAGGTAGGAAAATAACTCTCACAAATGTGGCCCTTGAACTGATTTGGCAGTTCATAAAGTATACAATTAGACATAGATAACCGGACATGTGTGCTCATGCTATGCAAAGATATTTAAATCAAATCTTTCTTAACTAGTGTTAGACCATGTTGAGACAACAATTTGAAGAGCTTCAGGTGGTGAATCAGCCATTAATGCTATACACGTGAAATTGTGCTTGTCCACAGCATGAGCTTGAATTATGTCCAAAGTCAAGATAAGATTTTAAAAGTATTTTAGATTTTTTTTCTTACGCGTTGAGAGAAAGGTAGCTCGGCTCCAAAACCAAAGACAGGAAACATCTTGTTGCTACAAAGAAAGACAGGAAAATACAGGTGTAACGTTAATAATGCATGTTAAACAGGGAACATCATTCAGTAGGTTAAAGTTATACTAATTAAATCCTGTAAAGTATGATCATTGTAAGCGAGATAGAAATGTTCAAATCACAATAAAAAAAAAGTTGATATACATTGGATTTAAATGGCTTAACGTTTGCTCTTACCTGTCGTAGTCCTGGATGACATTCCCCACCGCCCAGATGGCTTTCAGGTACTCATTATATCCCTCAGGGTTGATAAAGTGGAGGGAATTGGGAACGTTGGGATTCCCGTTAGAGGCTGTGAAGTCAATGGCAATCTGTCCGGGGTACGACAGAGGATAAGGATCGCGATATGAAGAGCCCTATATCTACACAGTATACCAGGTATAGTACTTGCTACCTTGAAGTACATGTAGGCCCGTCCAAGTCTTATCAAATCAAATAATTAATTTTACTGATAAGACAGAACAAAAATACCATTATCAGAATCTCTACCCAAGGCTTTGCCATGCAAATAAGCGCCACATTTATCCCACAAGCCAATCAGATCAGGCCCTTAAACGGAGCGTTTCAGACCGAGGGTGAATACAGGTATACTCAGATAGACATTATGGGAACAATCATATTTTATTTTTATGAGCATTAAAACTTTTAAACATGTGCTAGAAGAAACCCTAAATACAAGTATGAACATTAAATTGAGCATAATGTTTCCTTTAAAGAAACAACATCTTGTGTCTGACATTCTTAAACTCACAGTGAAGTTGATTTGACAACCCCCCATGATATAATCCAGGAAGGTATACTGCTTCTCCACCTGAGAAGGAAAAACAGTGATGCAATACAAAAACAAGAGTGGTAATAAATGTATGTATTTCTAGTTGTCTCACGGTATGACCTTAAAATGTACAGCGAGTGAGAAAATATACTGAAATCAATATGTCCTTATTTATAAATCATCACCTGGCAGTTGTTGATGCAAATGATCCCAGAGTTTTTATAGTTCCTCTTCTTCGACTTTTTTGGATGAGTGCACTCAAATTCAGCCTGCAAGTAGGAACACCAGTGGTATTTATGGCGGTTAAAATAACCAATAACAGGTATTTTTTGGTGAATCAAACACACAGAAGTCTTACCGCAGAAATGCGTGTTGCAATTTGCATCTCAGCTAGTGTTGCTGTAAAGCTGCCGATGAGCTGATGGGAGCCGTTGACGTGGTGGTCATAACAATCCACCTAATGACAAACAAAGACATTTCCAGTAAAAAAACAAAAGCCACTCCACGAAAATTAAAAACTAAAAAGGCAGCAGTCATAGTGCTTAGAAACAGTTGTAGGCCTATTATATGGGATGTAGATAGCAAGTCTTTCTTTACACTACGACTGTTTACTACAATAGAAAGTGTCCCTTGTCATAGAATTGTTTCATACCTCACATGCAAAACATAGCAATCACATTTCACTCTTGGTTATCAATGTTAGAAATAAATGCCTTTGGAGTAACTCAAATGAGTTCAGATGATATAGCTAAATGCACACCTTTGGGTGGAGACGTCATGAATCATGCGTACACACACATACCACTTCTCCAGCTGGGTCGCCGCGTGTTGTAATTATAGGAGCATTGTAAGATGAAAAAAAAATGCAATTACAAGATTAGTATGTTAAAGGACCATGTGCAACAAGCTGACCTTTTTTAAATAAAAAAAGGACAAAAAAATCTACTGAGAATACACTTTTTGCTAACGGGTTGCATATTCTCAAGCTTACAAACTCCAGGCATTCCAAATGCACGACACCAACAAATGAAATGCCACTCTTCTTTGGCAGGTATTTATGTTTTTTTTATACTTCTTCTTTCCTTTTTGAGTTACAAAGTATCTGACATGTAGCAGTATTGACTGAAATGGAAAATCAAATGACCCTTATAGCTCTCTCCACATCTCCTCCACAGAGGGATAGCAATGAGATGGTGAAGGGTCTCCAGACTGGGTTTTGCTTTTTTTTGACCACCTACATGAACGGGTTAAAAAGAGCCAAAGGTCAGTAAGGACTCCATGCAATCAGAGAAAATGAGTTTGAGATAAAAGTGTGTACCTCTGTCCTGTAAGCCAACTGCCACCCAGTTTTTGTCTGCTTGTAGAATTCCAGGAAAGGGTCGGACCACCACAAAAACTAGACAATAATATCCAAAGATAGTTTTTAAATAATATGTAAAATAAATAACGTCAGACTTTTTAAAATTACCTCCATTACCTTTTTGTCTAACCTGTGAGCCGACACCTCAAAGTTTGCCACTCTGTTGTCTATTATTTCTTCAGCACAAATCTATTAATAAAAAGATACCACACATGAAAAGACAATTGGAGTTTTGTGCATAAAACATCAGTGAGAAACTTTTCTGAAAGGGAGAGCCTCAATCGCAGCTAAGGCACTGCATATCATTTCTAATGAGCAAAGAGGCCACTCACTGTGATGGTCCCATGACCTGCAGGTCTCTTGTCATTCAGAAGTAAAGGTCGGGTCATCTGCCTGCTTGAAACAATCTGGACACAAAATACCGCCAGTATCACAGATAAGAACATTACAAATCTGGCAGGACATCACAGTACACAGTGACTCTCACCTGACCCAGGGTACACTCAATCTCCCCCAGAAAATCATCATCAGTCAGGCTGTGGCTGTCATTGTCGATGTCATACACACAAAACTTTAGCCTCTGCACCATCTCAAAATAGTAGTCGATCACAAACTTCTTGGCAAACTTTGGATTCAGGCAGTTCAGGATCATCTCTGTGCGTCCAAACTGGTTCACAAATAAAGGGGGAAAAATGCATTTGAGATCAATGTAGGTGGGCAAAAGCAAATGGCTTATTCAAATTAAGGCTTTAACTCTGATGACCATGACCTAATACAAACCTCAGACCAGTGGGAGCCTGAGGTGTTGATGTACAAGGCGCACAAAGGGTCTGACTTGGAGAAGATGTCCATGTCCATGAGGTTTTCACAGGAGATGGTCAGCTCCACCTTGGTGGCACAATGGTTGGCCGGGGGTGGCAGTGGGGCCCCACCTGAGGCCATGGCAGCTGGCTGTGCTAGGATGACAGAATAGCTACAGATATTGTCAGAAGTGAGAGTGACTAAGTATTTACTCAGGTACTGCACTGAAGTATTTTAATGTGTTGGGTTGTTTTATCAATCATTAACAGGTGTCACTCAGCATGATTGAAAATCTTAGCTTCTCCAACAATGCAACACAATAATATAGATAAGCGTTTACTGAACACAACAGTGTATGAGCAGCCTGTATCAAAATGGCAATACATTCAACAACTGAAAATAATAGACAAATAAATACTCAAACATAAACGGAATAAATTAGCTTCGAGATAATTAGTTAGTGACAGTTGTTGGTGTGCGGCGATGCCTTGAACGCAAACAAAACGAATAAGCCTACTCATTTTAAAGTGTCCAACAAAGTTACGCATATCATTTTTTCATTGTCAATTGAACGCTTATTCAGACATATTTACCTGTTTAGCTGTTGAAAAATATGCAATTGTGCCTAACGGTGCCTCTGGTCGCTATCTGACAAGAACAGGTGGGTAACCAGGGGGTGGAGCTGAGCTCGGTGAACGTAAACTTGTCAAACTTTTGCAAGCTACTTCGCTTTAGAGGTTTAACTCGCTATTGTTAGCAATTGTGTATGGTTTCATTCGTGCTATATTTAAATGAAATCTTTGTAGTTCCACTGTGACGTAAAAAAACAACCGTTGGCCATAATAAACAAGGTAACATTACGATGGAACTATTACGAGTTTGGGTTGTTTCTTGTCGACTACTTACATGAAGGCACACATATCTCCGCGGTGCATGCATGGTGCATTCAAGAAAGACATTTTGTAACAACAAATAGACATTTTGTAACAATAAATAGCGAATCATTTAAAAGGCTGTGACTACAATTAACATGTAAGACAATGCTGTTAGATGTAGGATTCTTAAGATAAAAAGAATGTCCTGTGTTGATTTAATGTAATACATTTAAACTAAAAGTTAAAAAGGGTTTGTTGTGTTTTTTAAAGTTGTTACGCCTTTATAAACCATAGAGAGGAATGAAAAGTATAACATACTAAAACATATTACGTACTAAAATGTAAGATATGTAATCATTTTAAGGCAAATCAAACAATAACATATATAAATATTAGCTAAGAGACACTATCAACTATTATTGTCTTTTTGCAACCTTTTCTGTGTGTGCTCTTGAATGCCTCTTGTTTGTTTTTGCGAGCCAGCCTACAGTCTATGGGCAGTGATGACTACCTGACTTCTCATTATTGAAGGTTTGGGCTTTGACATGGCTGGGACAGTGCTAATCCGATGTATGAGCAGGACTTTACTATCTGCAGCTCATGGGGCAAAAGGGTTCAGAACCAGAGGGACAACCCGTTTCTACTGGACAACTTTTAGAAGGACTGCCATTGCTCTGACTGTAATTAACTTTGCCTTTTAATATACTTATCAGACGTATCATTAAATATGCATGAAACTGCTAGAATCGCTCACTTTCAGATGCCTTTATACACGAATTTATGGTTTGGAAGACCATAGTTGCATTGTTAAAGGGATTGTTTCTATGCTTCTTTCTTATGTGGGTTAAAGGTCAGGGCTTTACAGTGGGATAGCTGCTTATCCATACTGCAAGCTTTGTATTAGGATATGTCATCGCTGTTAATATGAAACAGGTTGGGTTAGATGAAAAGGAAGGCTGTGAAATTAAAACCTGCTGTAGTTCAATTTTTAAGCAGTAATTCAAACTCTCCAACGAATGTGGATAAGTGTATAGCTGCTCTGAAAGTGTCAGGTTACCTTAGGTCAGCTGATACTTAGCATTGAAAACATTAGCCATTGGGCAGAAATCACCTTGAACCCCCTTCTATGGTTCATTTGTATGCCTTTTTTGTTAATATATTTCCTGTTTACAGAGTGGAAGAGCTGCATTCCTAGTGGGGCTTCCTACACTATCCTGTCTGGGATATGAGGCTTATCACAGAGTGCAGAGTTCAGCAGTGGTCCACGCTTTAGAAAAAGGTAGTTGGTGTACTGTGAAAGGTGTGAGATATCATTGAAATACATATTTAGTAATGGATTCCTGAATTCTCTGTTGTGTTTTGTGTGCAGAGGAGGTTTTGGAGCAGGCTGACTACCTGTACAGCTGTGCAGAGACAGAGAAGCTGTACCAGCTGCTGCTGCAGTACAAGGACAGGTAGGCGAGCCCCCACTAAATGTTATTTTTATTATACATTATCCTGAAGATTATTTTCTGTATTGCCTGTAAAACGTCAGAAACTGGTAAAAAAAATGCCATGCTCTTTCTAAGTGATGTTTTTTAAATGTCATCAGGTCAATCAAAAATACCCACAGATATTCACTTTATAGTATAAAGTAGATATCTCACTTTTATATTTTCTCTATTTCTCCCTTTGTTCTTGGCAGAAGTTATTGGAATGCCCCCCTACCTTCACTAAAGTTAAACATTTGTGCACATTATGAGTTTACCTTTTGAATTTGCATCATTGCCTCGCCCTTATTCCACCTACTTTTTACTTTTTACTTTTGCTGTTATTTTTCTTTTTCTTCTTTACTTTCTTGTAAAGCGCTTTGAGCACCAGGAAAAGCGCAATATAAATGTAATGTATTATCATTATTATTATTATTATTGCAGCGATGAAGCAGAGTTCCTGTGGAGGCTGGCCCGGGCGTCCCGGGACATGGCGCTCCTGCCCGACATGGAGGACAAACAGAAGAAGGAGCTGATGTTTGAAGGCTTCGAATATGTGAAGAAGGCACTCGAGAAGGATGAGAAGTGTTCAGCCGCACACAAAGTAAGAAAACTACGTTTGTTCCCACACACATCATGTCACACATGACAAAAAACGAACATGCAGGAGGTTGCCATTATGGTAAAGGATCAATGGGGGATTTTGTTAACCAAACCATCCTCCTTTTCTCACACAGTGGTACGCAATATGTCTCAGTGATGTAGGGGATTACTTGGGAGTCAAGGTCAAAATTGGAAATGCTTACATCATCAGGGATCATCTAGAGGTGAGAGCACATTTGGGTTGTTATACATTATCATAGTCATATTTACTGTGTTCTGGAGTGAAACAGGTTCCTGTCTTTTCTTCTAGAAAGCCATTGAGCTCAATCCCAAAGATGCCACTTCCTTGCATATTTTGGGTTACTGGTAAGTCATTTTTTAAATTTTATTTTGTATTATTTGTTCCATAAAATATGGTAAGTTTACATTTACACTTATTGCCTTTTCATTCTGCTGTTCTCTGCTACTTGCCAAGGAAAAGATACGTTGTTGGTATCAGAGGACAGTAGAGGGTAGTATCCCAAAGAATGCCAAGATGACATAAACTGTGTTTGCATAAGACCTAAAGATGCAAATCTATACGGTATACTTTTTGGGAGGAGAAACATTATTTTGAAGTCACAAAGGCTGTTGTATTATTCAGTGAAATCTGTATGTTTTCTGTCTAATAGGTGCTTTGCTTTTGCCGAGCTGCCTTGGTATCAACGCAAGGTGGCAGCTGTCATTTTTTCATCCCCACCTGTGTCCACATATGAAGAGGTGAGTACTGCTCTAGTTACACCGCTGCTCATCTGTATTGTGACTAGGGTTGCAAAATTCCAGGAATTTTCAAAGATGGAAACTTTCCACAGGAATTTATGGGAATAAACTGGGAATTTTCCAAATTGAAGGTTGGCTCTTCAAAGGGAACTTAAATATAGTTGGGGAAAGTATATTTTAGCATAATCTTGACTAAAACAAACAGATGCCATTCAAGTACACTTGAATATCCATGCCATAGCACACTGCTTACTGCATGGCTATTGAGACCACACAAAGGTTCGCAACAGGCTCACAAATGTGAGAGTGGAAAAACTGGTTGGCATTCGGGCAAACC